TCATGTTGCAAAGAGGAAGACATCAGTGGAACTTATTTTTGAAATCAGGTTACAGACTTGCCTACAAATCAATGAGTGTCTCAGATAGAAAGTAGAAGATCGGTCAGAGGGAAAAGGCTATTTGTCTTTTCGAGATACCGTAGCTTGATGTGGGACAGATGGTCTGTGACTGACCAGACACATTCTGCAGCCATCCCAGGATTCGGGAGATTCATCCTGGCATAAACGGGGGAAGAAGAATGATTTGAATGGGCTTTACTTCTTCTTCCCTTTCATTTTCAGGATGTGGTCATCACCGGCTAAGCTAACTTTTATTGCCCATTCCAAATTTCTCTTGAGAAGATGCATGTTACACTGCTTTCTTGAATGTTGGCAATCTATGTGGTTGATATGCATCCATAGTGCTCTTAGTAATGGTGGTGGCACTGGGTAAAGGATTTTAGGAACACCCCAGAATCTGTGGAAAGCACTTGGAGACCGTCATTCTATGTTCCTGCTTGACAAAATGGGGAAACAGAAATCCTTTGGAACAAGTTTGCTATGAGAACTGTAATTCCATGGTGCAGTATATGGGAAGTACAGAAGAACATTCTTTTCTGTAGTTTAAAATAAAAGTTGCCGACACAAAAGAAAATAGTTTGCAGTCAATAACACTTTGTCAAATGTTTGAAGAAGTTTCAGAGTGTGTCATTTTTTCAGCTATCATTAGAGATTCAAATATCTTTTTAAATATTTTTAAACTCTATAATGATAATAACACTATACACCATTTTTGAGAAGTATTTGAAAGTTCAAAGATGTTTTATTGTATCAAAACATCAAAACCAACACATATTACACAGTGACAGTCTTTTTATGTCAATATTTTATTTAATAAATGTACACATAATACTTACTTGACAATTCCCTGCCTCCAAAGGAAAGCAAGTTAAAATATAATACAATGTTAAGTGTTTCTTAGCAGCTGTTCAAAATTTTAAAGTAACTGCACAGTGACTGAGTCTACCAATAGACTTTCAGGTTTTCAGGTAGAAAATTTGCATTGTGATCATATTGCTAAACAGGTGAGGAAGACATTTGCGTCATTTTATTTACTTTATTCGTACTTATATAATCTTATTCAGTAGTCAAGATAGCTTACGTCTACTGTTAGTGCTGGTAATAATCAAATCTATAGCTGGAGGAGTCATTAACCAACATTTTAATCAGTGTGCTTTGCCGTGTTACAAGACAGTATCAATGCCATCAGACTATCTTCAGTATGTTAATAAGGACTAAAATTTTACATTGACATAGCTTAACACTTGAAACTATTGATTTGTGTGAAATGAAATGGTGGATTTTTGATACTTGCAATGAAGTATGGTTTAGACTGAATCAATGAGGAGAAACAAATTCATGTTGATCATCTACTTAGATATAAACCCATCACTTTATTACTGTGCATGATTTTAATATTATAGATGTCAGAGAGTTGTACTCAGGCACTTTACTAGTTGAAATAATATTTGTCAAAACGTGGTCAGCAGACTAATTTAAATGCTGATTTAAGCACTGTAGAAGTAGCAGCCGAGAGACACTTGAATATAGAAACCTACTAATTTTACTGATACTTAGTATTCATTCAGTAAAGAAGTTAATCATTACAGTGTTTTCACATACTACTATACCATTCAAAACATCAAGCAAAACCTTCAGAGCAACAGAATAGATAGGCTTGATTTTAAGGATGTTGTTTGAATAGAATTCAAATGTTGCAAATGCAATAATGGGAAAATATTCAACTAAGTATATTTTTAATCACATCACAGCAAAAGAGTTGTTTAGTAACTGACCTTAAATTTTTTTCATTAAAAAAACTGTCAATTCATTTAAGCAGCAAAATGAAACAAAGAATTATTACTTTTTAATTACCATCTACAAATTTATTCTAAGGATACTTAAATCTACTTCATTGGAAAGCATTTAAGGACACTTCAATGTAATATCTGGAAATACTGAAATTAATCATAATCTTAATTCCACACCAAATATCAAAGTATATGATACTTCCATAAGTTCTCTTCACACAATTAATATGTATTGTTCAATGTTCTCCCTTTGTTCTTGTAACAAGCAAAGCAGGCAAAGGAGAGCCATTGGAAATGATCTACTTCGACTTCCAAAAGGCTTCAACCACTTGCTCAACAGGAGGCTGATAAATAACATAAGAACACGTTGTTAAAGGCAAGGTTCTGGCGTGGTTAGAGGATTGACTGATTGACAGGAGGCAGAGATAAAGGGGTCCTTTTTAGGATGGTAGCACGTGACTAGTGGACTTCTGCAAGGATCTGTGTTGGGACAACAACTATTCATGTTATACATTGATGACTAGATGAAGGAAATGAGGGAATTGTTGTTAGGTTTGCGGATGACACAGAGACAGGTGGAGAGCAGGAAGTGCTGAGGAAGCAGGGATGCTGCAGAGAACTTGCATAGGCTACGACAGTGGGCAAAGAAGTAGCAGATGGAATACAACGTGTGAAAGTGTGAGTTTAGAAGAACCAGAGGCATAGACTATTTTCTAAATGAGGAAAGGCTTCAGAAATCTGAAGCACAAAGGGATTTGGGAGTCAGAGTTCAGGATTCTCTTAAGGTTGACATGCAGGTTCAGTTGGCAGTTTGGAGGGCAAATGAAATATTAAACAGAAATGTACTGCTGAGGCTGATTAAAGCTCTGGTCAGACTGCATTTGGAATGTTGCGAGCAATTTTGGATCCCATATTTAAGGAAGGATGTGCTGGCATTGGAGGGGTTCAGATGAGGTTTTACAAGAATGATCCTGGGGATGAAAAGCTTGTCATATGAGGAGTGGTTGGAGAGTGTGGTTGTGTACTCGGAGTTTAGAAGGAAAAGGAGGGATCTGATTGAAAAGTACAGAATATTGAGAGGCCTGGATTGACCGAACATAGAAGAGATAGTTCCACTAGTTGGACAGAGTAGGACCCGAGCACCACCTCAGAGTCAAGGGATAACTGTTGGGAACCGAGATGAGGTGGAATTTCTTAAACCCGAGGCTGGTTAATTTGTGGAACTCATTGCCACTGCAGACAATGGAGGCCAAGTCATGGAGTGTATTTGAGACAGAGATAGATAGGTTCTTGATTAGTAAAGAGATTAAGGTTTACAGGGAGAAAACAGGAGAATGGTGTTGAGAAACACACCAGCCATGATTGAATGTTGGAGCAGACACGACGGACTGAATGCCTAATTCTGCTCCTATGTTTTATGGTTTATGGTCCTCTTGTAAAGTCATGTAAGTATATGGTTTCACATCCACGTTCCAGTACTTGGCCCAAGACTCTAATCATCATGGATAACAATGTGTAATGATATTAGATTGTTCAATTGCGAGGGCATCACAGCCAAGAGTCACCTGATTTTGTTCTTTTGTTCCCTTTTGACGTCTAGTGGTCTATGAGGCAGACAAAGTTTGTGCTTATGCCTATTCCCTTAGCTGCTATTTTTTCCTGAAACAGATTACTAACCTGTTTCTAGGAGCTACAGCTAGAAGATCACCACTCCACACAGAGCAGGGCTGACCAGGAGATTCTCCTGCTGTTACTGCCAGCCACAAGTATTTTGGAAGGGTTTACATGTTGATCATGAGGTTTTTTGGATATGTTATGAATGCACCTTCCATGACCATTAAGTCCTGGAGTGGACTCAAACTCAGAACTTCTAATTCAGAGGCAAGGAGACTACACATTGCACCACAAGACCTCCCATCTGATGTTTACATAAGAACTACTATCAGCCAAAACAACTGAATAGCAATAACTACTAACAAGAACCCAGCATAAATTTTCCGTCTATAACCCAAGAATAACACAAATATTTGCAATTCTTTTTCAAAAAAATTTTAAACATGCTACATCTTATGAATATAATTTTAAAACAGGTAAATGTCTGGATGCCATCAAGAAATTTTACAGTTCTTGAATTGGGGATTTGCCTTCACAATGTCTTGGTCAGTAGAAAGACAGTGGAGAGTTGAGACAACTGATTAAAGAATACTTATAAGGTTCAAGCAGCATTGGGCTGGCACAAGCAAGATCAATCATTGTCAGTCATGGTCTAAAACTTTGCTGCACTTCATCATAAGCAAAGTGCAATGCTAACTTCTGGCAAGCATTGGGAATTGGGATAGACAGCCAAATCCTCATAATAGCATTTCATGAAATATCACATTGATTTCAGTGGTCAGACTGGAAATTAAGTAATGTCATTTTTCTGAAATGATAACATCTGCACCAAGTACTTCTCTTTCAACTTTTTCCCTTTTCTTTAATCTTAACAAACTTGTCAAAGACTGCTATTTTCAAAAATTTGCATTTTTCTGAATCCTGTTGAATTGTCGTCCCCATACTTTGGCTCTTGTCTTTAATAATCTTCTTTAACCTTAGCCTTCACCATTATTTTCTCCTACAACTACTTTGTTCTTCAGATTCATTAAATGTTGTAGTGACATGTTAGCATGTTAGTTTCCTGTTGCCACGTGCAATGGCTTGTATGTTGAACAAGAACACATGGATTTAAAAAAAAAAATCCCCTGCAAATCCTAAAATTTGATTGTAAAAGCTGTTGATGCCACTGTGGATGCAAAATATTAAAGAATAATATTAAGTATGTTCAGTAAGTTTTTAGTTTATGCATTAAGTCTGTCCTAAAAGAAAGAACCTTGTTTAAATACCTCAACTAACATAGTGTGGTTAAGGTTTAAGACAGTTATTTTTATTCCACAGATGTTCAAACTATTACAATATCCAATATGTATTATTTAACTTGTGCTGTGAATTTTCTAAGGTAGACATAGATGTATATTTTGATAAAATTTTTCATTAAGAACAGGCAAAAAAATCTAAATCAAAGTGTAACAAAAACCAATGAGAACGATTATTAACTTTAATAAAACGTAATCAACATTGACAATAAGGTGGATTTCCAAAGCAATAATGTACCTTTCTTCTGTTGAGACTTCTTTTGGTTGAAGATGTGGCTTTGTGCCAGACATCTCCCTGATACTAACTGCATAGATCTTGGTTGTGTAATCAATGGACTTCTCTTTTGCAACATCACTGTCATACCCTAGAAAAATGCAGAATCAATTGTTGAAAATAATAATAAAAAGCAATCTTCTTCTGTTTTACATTCAGATACAGAATTGGCCTCATTGATGCAGTATTATCTTGGTAAAGATCTATGGAGTTGGTAAATAAGGAGCGGTGATCTTTTAAAATGATTAAAATGTCAAAGAATGACTCAAGAGACAGTAAGAAGTGATGCCACTAAGATGACCATTACTGTTCAACCAATCAGGAACTGATGATACACCACCGAGCCAATCCATGATTCACCACGAATGCTTCATGCATTAACAAGACAATTGGAGCTCAAGATTATCCTAATCATGTCTGGGGCATAATGGCTAGTAAGCGTTGATAAGGGTTAGTTCTAAGTGGTACAGTGTACTAAAAAAAAGAAGACAGTAGGATAACTTCAGTCAATGGGAGCACAGCTGGTACCAAAGACAACTGGAAATTGAGAGCTCGTTTTATATTATGAATTGATTGAGTCCACTACTTTTATTAAGAATTGTCCTGTACTTGTTGTGAAAACTTAATTTTGTGAAACTTCTTTAGATTGTACTCGAAGCAGTCCTTTAATTGGTCAAACCCAGAGGCACTATAGATTGATTCTTTCAAAACTGATCTTTAATTGTGATTGACTTAAGTTGTACCATTAAAGTAGAATTCAATTCCAAACTCTTACAATACATTATCACAACAATTAATAAAACCCTGGATCATGAATGGAGATATTGAACTTTTAATTGCGCATGAGTTTTTTAAAATGAGGAGATGATGGGAAAATGTCAGCAGCGAGTGAAAGACATGTTTATCCTTTCATCCCCAAGAATACACATGAACTGGGGTTAAAAACTGGAGTCAAACTCTGGTCTGTGCGTGTTAGTGAACTGAGGTGCTCACGTATACTAGCCTGGGTTTAAGTGATAATATGCAATTAAAGCAGTAGTTGAGGAATTATCCTAACTGTATGACAGGTAAACGGGCCCTGGCACTAATCCCTATGGTAGGCAAATAGTCAGTTTACCACCGTGTATGCCAAAATTGTCCAACCTTTTTGTATGGGGTCCACATTTCAAATTTTTTCTCGTGTGGAGGGGCTGGTGAGCAAAGCTCAGTAAGATACGGGGCTGAATATTACATGCCTCTGCTGGGTGTGTTTTTGGTGTGAGGGCATGTAATATAGGACTAATCCATCACCACTAGAGTTTACCCTGTAATTAAGGATAATTTGAGTTTGTTAAAAGCTCAATTGACTCTATCATTACACTGCCCATTTAATAGTATGGTTGGTGTGAAATTCACAGTTTCTTTTGAAGTGCCTAAAACAGAGTGAGGAGGAGAAAGGATGCTATTATTGGAGGATGCCTCTTGTCCATAAAGTTGGGAGAGGCAGAAGTCCCATGAGGAGCTTATTTAATCTCTCCGGGAATGTAGGCCTGTTCTTCTTCTTGTAGCTTCTTCTGGGATGTTTTCGCACCAGGTCTGGTTCCTCCGACTCTGACTTGGACATGGGTGGCACGTACGAGACCGTAGTGCGTCTCTTGCGCCCAGAGCATCTCAGGAGAAATTCCTCTTCTTCTTCAGGCAGCAATGGTATCTAGGCTATGACATTGGCTGCATCCATCCTGGACACTGAGGATTCTTTGATGCTAAACAGAGGGGGAGCCTTTCTGGCAGTTCTGAGGTGCTGGATATGTTTTGCTCTTGCCCCATTTATGAGGGAGCAACTTCATTGTGATCCACATGTTTATTCAGGACTGCCTCACCTACTTGAACTTTGATTGTCATGGGACCTGACCTCACGTCGACATCACCTTGTACCCATTTAGGGCCATTTCCGTGGTTTCAATACCAAACTGTGCCCCCTGAATTAAACTATCTCTCTCACTCAGAGGAGGCATGTGGCCGGCTTTGGTGATCCTGGTAGCATTTCATCCTCTCTGCCAGGTCCAGGAATATCAGGTTTAATCTGATGCAGAGTCTCCTCCCCATCAGCAACTCTGCTGGAGCTATCCCTGTAGTTGCGTGAGGGGTGGTCCTATAATCAAACAGGAACTGGGAGAGTTTGGTATCGAATGAAGCTGCAGGCTGTTTCTTTAAGCCTGCCTTCAACGTTTGGACTGCTGTCTCCACGAGGCCATTGGATGATGAGTGGCACGGAGCTCTCTGAATATGCCGAACGCCATTCAATTTTAGGAAATACTTGAAATCCCGACTGGTAGATGACATCTCATTGTCTGTGACCAATACTTCCGGGAGTATACGCAATGCAAACAATGTTCACGGCTTTTACATCATCGTCCCCAAGTCTGACGATTGAACTCTATTCGTGTCCAACTATGAATGAGAATCCACAATGAACAAGAACATTGAGCCCATGAAAGGGCCGGCATAGTTGATGTGTAACTGAGTCCAGGGTTTACCTGGCCATTCCCACGAAGGTGGGAGAGCTGCTGATGGTAATTTCTGTCCTTGTTGGCATTCTTTGCACTGCCCCACCGAGCTATTTAACTGTTCCAAACCACACATAGGTGGACTTTCCAGGGTGTGCACTCTCCTGGATACCAGCCAATGAGTTCTCTTACTCAGGTCAGGCCTCTTAGGACTCATTTGCTGTCTCAAGTCTGCATACCAGCAGCAACTGCAATGGCGTGATGGCCCAGATCCTGAAGAACATTTTAATCATTTGGCCGAGGCTCGGCTTTGTTTTGGAGTTTTGCTGTGGGCTTACCTAGAGCCCTCTGCTCAGGTTATGTCCCGCATGAGACTATGCAACTGCTTACAAGTGGTATTCCCCAAGCTCAGATGGTGAGCTGGTGAGAGTGTCCACTTCCATCAGTGTACCATGCAGCTCATGTGTTCCACTTGCCGCATTTTCTAATGATAAAGCCAGTTATAGTGCCTGTTTGAAGTCCAGTTGGGCTTCAGCTACGAGGTGCTTTTGCATGGTTCTGACATTTAACCCACATACCAAAAGGTCTCTCAGCATCGCATTCAGGGTTCACCTAAAATCACATGCCTCTGCCAGTCATTTTAACCTCGTCATAAATCCCGATACGGATTCCCTGGTTCTCGAACTGCCAAACAAAACCGATAGTGTCTCAAAATTAGAGGAGGCTTGTGGTGGTAATATTCTTTCATTAAATCCTTCAACTCATAGAAGGTTTTAGTATCTGGTGCCCCAGGGAAAGTTAGGCTTCTAATAGCCAAAAATGTGGGGTCCACAAGCAGTCAAAAGAATTATTTGTTGCTTTATGTCTGCCCCAATGTCATTTGCCCAGGAAAAACTGATGCATTCTTTTCACATACTGGGCCTAGTCTTCGACGGCAGGTTTGAACAACTCAAGTTTCCCAAATAAAGGCATGATGCCAGAAAGCTTCCCCCAACTAAAAGTCGACTGTTGGGCGGAATTTTCTTCAGAAGCATATGTTTTCTCTTGTCGTCACTGAAATAATTTCAGGGAAGCCAGCATCCTGTCACCAAGTCTCCCTTTACTTACAGAGATAGTAGGAACTGCAGATGCTGGAGAATTTGAGATAACAAGGTGTAGAGCTGGATGAATACAGCAGGCCAAGCAGCATCAGAGGAGCAGGAAGGCTGACATTTCAGGCCTAGACCCTTCTTCAGAAATGGGGGAGGAGAAGAGGGTTCTGAAATAAATAGGGAGAGAGGGGGAGGCGAATAGAAGATGGATAAAGGAGAGGATAGGTGGAGAGGAGACAGACAGGTCAAAGAGGCGGGGATGGAGCCAGTAAAGGTGAGTGTAGGTGGGGAGTGAGGGAGGGGATAGGTCAGTCCAGGGAGGACGGACAGGTCAAGGGGGCGGGATGAAGTTAGGAGGTAGGAGATGGGGGTGGGGCTTGAGGTGGGAGGAGGGGATTGGTGGGAGTAAGGACAGGGCAGGGAGGCGGGGACAAGCTGGGCTGGTTTTGGGATGCGGTAGGGGGAGGGGAGATTTTGAAGCTTGTGAAGTCAACATTGATACCATTGGGCTGCAGGGTTCCCAAGCGGAATATGAGTTGCTGTTCCTGCAACCTTCGAGTGGCATCGTTGTGGCACTGCAGGAGGCCCAGGATGGACATGTCATCTGAGGAATGGGAGGGGGAGTTGAAATGGTTCGCGACTGGGAGGTGCAGTTGTTTAGTGCGAACCGAGTGTAGGTGTTTTGCAAAGTGGTCCCCAAGCCTCTGCTTGGTTTCCCCGACGTAGAGGAGGCCACAACGGGAACAGCGGATGCAGTATACCACATTAGCAGATGTGCAGGTGAACATCTGCTTGATGTGGAAAGTCTTCTTGGGGCCTGGGATGGGGGTGAGGGGGGAGGTGTAGGGGCAGGTGTAGCACTTCCTGCGGTTGCAGGGAAAAGTGATGGGGCTGGAGGGGAGTGTGGAGTGGACAAGGGAGTCACGGAGAGAGTGGTCCCTCCGGAAAGCAGATAAGGGTGGGGAGGGAAAAATGTCTTTGGTGGTGGGGTCGGATTGCAGATGGCGGAAGTGTCGGAGGATGATGCGTTGGATCCGGAGGCTGGTGAGGTGGTACGTGAGGACGAGGGGGATTCTATTTTGGTTGTTATTGCGGGGGGGGCGGGGGTGTGTGAGGGATGAGTTGCGGGAAATGCGGGAGACATAGTCGAGGGTGTTCTCGACCACTGAGGGGGGGACGTTGCAGTCCTTGAAAAACGAGGACATCTGAGATGTACGGGAGTGGAATGCCTCAATAAGTTCTCTTTCAATTCCTCCCACTTCCTACAGACAAAGGGGGTGGCCATGGGTACCCGCATGGGCCCAAGCTATGCTGCCTCTTTGTAGGTTACGTGAAACAATCCCTCTTCCGTAGCGACACTGGCCCTAAACCCCACCTATTCCTCCGTTACATTGATGACTGTATCGGCGCCGCCTCATGCTCCCACGAGGAGCTGGAACAGTTCATCCACTTCACCAACACTTTCCACCCCAACCTTAAGTTCACCTGGACCATCTCTAATACCTCTCTCTCCT